CTTAAAGGTGCTACAAAACATCCTGAAGGGTATCTTCAAGATCCAGAAGAATGAGAAGCTTGCCAGAGAACGTGAGGAAGAAGAAGAACAGGCAGCTCGAAACATCTCAACCTTGATGGCAGATGATATGGAGCTTGATTTTGATGATGACAATGTGCCAGTATGGAGCTCCATTGTCAATAAGTATAGAGAAGGTGATCAGGTGTTACAGGGAGAAGCAGTGAAGATTACTCATCTTTATAAGGATAAAAAGGACAATGAGAAGGCAACAGAGTTTTTCAGTTCAGAGAGGACAGATTATTTTGAGACCTCAGAATCTCTTCCAAGAACCATGGGAGAAAATCTTGTGGAGGACTTGCTCACCAAGGATGTTGCAGAACAAGCTTTTGAGGCAGGTGAAGAAGTTCCTCCTTACACAAGAGTCTCCACTATCACTGGTGAGATCTATACTGGTAGTATGAAGATTACGGAAGGTGAAAATATGGAAGAGGAAGTCCATGAAGAAGATCCTGCAGTTGAACTCGTAAAAGATGAAGAAGTTTTTGATGAGAATGCAGGTGTTTTTCCTTCAGAGGACACAAAGATGGAAGTGGACCAGGAGGAAGCCAAGGATGAGTCAGCATCATACTTTCTGTCAAGAGAGATAGGTGAGGACTCAGCAGCATCGCACTTACCATCAGGTGAGAATGATGCTAACCTTGAGGATCCTTCAAGTCTGCGGAAATCTAAGAAGAGCCGCCTGAATAAAATTCCTGATCCTCATTTTCATGAAGAAGTTCAGGATGATGCAACTTTTGAGGAGAAGAAAAAGGCGGTGGAGAAGATAAGAGAGGTCAGAGAGGATGATGGAGAGAAGAAATTGGAGGCTGGTATCCAAGAATCTTTTCCATCTGAAGTAGTTGTTGATACAGATGCAGCGGATGTTGACAATACCCATGAGTTGCGTACTTCACCTTTGAGGTTGCTTGGAGAGCTTACAGGAGATCTAGGTATTGGCTTTTATCAACAATGCTACAGGGAAACTCACGCAAGATTGTTGAACCATGTTTGTTTCAGAAAAGGTGAGATTTCCCATCCTCACTATCAGTCAATGATCAACGAGGACGACTTTGTTCGATCCATTCGAAAGATCTGTCCAGTACCTCCACCTGATTGTTATGAGGACAGCTCAGAGCATGACTTGAAGAGATTTTTCATCAATGATGACCGCATCATTTATTTGGATGACAAGTATCAGGTCGATCCCAGGGCCCTTGAAAGGGCAGAACAAGCTCGAGCAGATTTGGAGGTTACAAAGGAACAGTTTAGAGAAGAACTGGAATCATATGGTCCCAAGGGACCCAGTTGGGACTATGTCGCCGTCTATGAAGAGCTGTGCAAAAGGTTCCTCAAAGGAAGAATAGAAGAACAATATGGAACTAACTTATTGGCCAGCTCAGAGTCCTTGACATTTTTATCCTGGAACTATGGCAATATGGTTCGTGGTCAGAAATACACCACACCAAAGTTTCTCCAAGGACTTGATCGTGCAATGAAGCCACGCAAACAGAGTGACATGTCACTTCAATATGAGCTATTTGAAAACAATCTTTTCTTCAACATGCTCTTCTTTTTACGTGCACATGTCGTGATTCTCCAGGAAGCTCATCTCCTTGTTCCTGCCAAGGATTTTCTTGAGCAAAAGAATTGGACAGTTTGTTTCAATGATTGGGAGAATCTTGCAGTGATGGCTAGATTGGCACCAGGTGGATATGTCAAGGTAATTGCTGGACATGACCAAGACCTTGGTCACTGTCAACAGCGTGATGTATCTTGGGCTATCTATGAGATTTGTTTTGGAGAAACAAGGCCTCGTCAAGAATTCAAGGATGCAGACTTTGAATTTGAGGACTATGGTCCTAAGGACCAGCGTGTTCCACTTACTCGAGCGAACATGCATACCATCAGAGTCTGTAATTATCATGTTGACACACACCGTGCTGTGGATGCCCACCTATTGACAGGAGAACAGACATCATTGATGCTTTATGAGTGTTTTGTATATGAGGTGGACATCATTTCTGGTGATGCAAATAGTTTGGCCTACAGAATGTCTGGGTACAAAAGGCAGCCAATGGCTAACTATTATTATAGCACCATGCAGCATTGGACCCGCAAGTTTTCAGAAGCCCGTGTAGCAGCAGATCCTGGTATTAAAGCACCTATTCCCAGAACATTTTACAGTTCATCTTCACATGTCCTCAAGCAGTGTGAAGTTTACTTTGAGAAACTCTGGGAAGAATATTCTACAGAAGAAAAAGAAATATACCAGGGATCAAAGCTTGGCGATACGTGTTTGTCTACCATTGTTGAATGGGGTCATTCAATGAGTGCAGGGGAATATACAAATTCCACAGTGAGCACGAAGGAGTTCGACTGTAATTTTTCAGAGAACTTTGCTATGATTGACACGGAGGTTATGTGCTCAAGACCCTCTGGCGATGACAGTCATGGTCCAATGTTTATTTCACTCAGACCAGCTTCCTTTTCATCTGGAGACAGAAGGCTTTATCGCAGCGGCGAGACTCTTAGAGAGGCTAACTTGCGGAGGAAGGAGAGACAGAAGGAGAATAAAAGGAAAGGAAGGCCGCCAACTTCTGATCAAGCAGCTCCATCGACTGCAGCGGCAGAAACTCAGAGCGGAGGCTGAATTTTAAATGATGGCTAGGAAGTGAAGATACTTCTGATTACAGTTGATACTTTGCTTCCAGGCTTGACTTGAAGTTGCCAGGCTGAAGTTTTAAGCTTTAGCATGCAGATAAATACAGTTTTACTAAACGGATATTATCTGCAGGTAGGTATGGACAGTTTTACAGAACTGATGATATCTACCACAGTCGCTCTTTTGAAATGACCTCTAATGGACAACCATTTATGGTTGATGATTAAGTCATTTTATGGATTTGCAATTGTAGTGCAAGATTTTTTTGTACATACATTTGCCGGTATCTCCTTCCTTTTTGTTTTTGGCTGATTTTTGATGTCAATGTGAGAGAGTCCTTTTGATGCAGTTCATTTTTGGATAAGTCCTGTGTATGGAAGCGGCCGAGACCACTTTTAGAGAAGACCATTCCTCGGACCGAATTGTTTACGCTCCTTGCATTTTGCAAGGCATCTTAATTCATTGCATTTTGCGCGGTCTTGAAATTTTAGTTCTTTCGTTACGCGAGTGTCGTTTACTGCTTTTATAGGTCTCTGGGCAAAAGAAGCCGCTTTCCTTTTGAATTTAGAACTTTCTGAAAGATTGACAGCTCTGGCTATTTAAGGGCTATTGAGCGCCGGTACATGGTATCTTCGCCGGTGAACGATACAGTCTCCAGCCGAGATACATTGTCTTTGACTTTGTATTTGAGGTGAGTAAGCTATCGCTCCCTCACTGTATCTAGTATACTTTGAGATTACCTTTCCTATAGTGTGCTACACACTGGAATTGGTAAGTACAAGGCACCGTAGTTTCCTTTTAAGCTTACTAGAGCTTGCTGGACTGTTTTAGCCTTACGGTGGAAAAATAGTGTGCGACATACGCAATAGGCTGGAGTGGACATGAATTTTGTGCCTGCTGAAATGTAGAGGCCTACTTGTACAGGTTCCACTCCAGTGACCTATCTAGTGTGTCCATGCTTGACTGCCATAAGGCTCAAGAAGTCAAGAGGATAAGACTCTGCGTAGAAAAAGACACTAGCGGTCTGCACCTCAACCGTGTACGCCCTAGTCACTCTTTCACCCGCCCCCCCCCCTTCAACAACCAGGGCCTCCAATATAGTGTATAAGAAAACTAGTCAAAGGACCAAAATGAAAAGAATCATTGTTAAAATCTTCTTGGGCTTCTTTGGCAGTTTTAAAAATAAAAGGGAATCAATGAAATCTCAAATTGAAGACATTTGGAATACTAAAGTAAACGGAAATCAATAAAGTGGAAATGTAATTCTCAATATTTCAATGGAAATCTGAATCAAAAGACCTTGAAAAGCATCAAGAGTAAAGCAAAAGGAAAAGAAATGAAATGAATACACGTTTACTCAAAGCAACATATTTTTTAAGCTTGAAGTCTCTAGACATTATTCTAGGGCCCCCCCCAAACAATGTCAGAAAGCTGCTTGCTGGACTACCCCCTTTGCTTGAATGATTATTTGGTTTTTCAATGTTTTTGAATAAGGGATGTTGTAAAGAAAGTGTGCACTGACTTTTGGAAACTTTTGGAAAGCTTAAAGACTAAAGAGCTTAGGTAAGCAAAGCAAATCGAAAGGAAAAGAAAGGGAATGCATACAAGTTTACTTGAAGCAAAATATTGTTTAAGCTTGAAATCCCTAGACATTATTCTAGGGCCCCCCCTAAATAATGTCAGAAAGCTGCTTGCTGGACTACCCCCTTTGCTTGAATGATTTTTTGTGGTTTTCAATATTTTTGAATAAGGGATTTTGTAAAGAAAGTGTGCACTGACTTTTGGAAACTTTTGGAAAGTTTAACGACTAAAGAGCTTAGGTAAGTAAAGCAAAGCAAAAGGAAAAGAAAGGGAATGAATACAAGTTTACTTAAAGCAAAATATGTTTTAAGCTTGAAATCTCTAGACATTATTCTAGGGGCCCCCCCTTTGCTTGAATGATGTTTTTTGTTTTGCATTTTTTTGAATAAGGGGTTTTGTGAAGAAAGTGTGCAGTGACTTTTGGAAACTTTTGGAAAGCTTAACGACTAAAGAGCTTAGGTAAGTAAAGCAAATCAAAAGGAAAAGAAAGGGAATGAATACAAGTTTACTTAAAGCAAAATGTGTTTTAAGCTTGAAACCCCAGCAAACTCAAAAGGGAAAAAGTAAACTATAACAATAAACACTATTCCACTACAACTATCCCTGCAAGAGAAAACATTATTCTGGGTGCCTTTATTAATCAGTGCAGGAAAAAATACATTATTCTAGGGAGGTTTATTAATCACAGGTCTACATTATTTGCATTTGTCCCTTGGAGGAACGAGTGGACTTTGAACTGGAACAGGTTCCTTAACCGCTGGGAATTGCGAGAGGATCAGAAACTCGTTGAAGTTTTATCAGGAGAAGCAGAATGTCCAGTGGCCGTGAATGCTTCAGGTTTTTCGTTTTCAGCCACATATATCGAACCGCTGACTGCAGCCTATGTGATCCTTGGCAACACAGATTCAACCTTTGAGTATCAGTATCGTGTACCCTTGTGGAGCTTGCTTTGCCGATGTTTGCTACGTGCGACTGCGCTTGTGCACCAAGGATACAACCCAAGCCAAAGCCGCTGCTCCCACAGCAAAAGCCGGAGCAGCCCAAACTCTTGACATTCCATCCGGAAGAACCAGATTACAAGGAATATTGCGATCCCGCATATTTGCAAAACCCTTTTGCATTCCAAGCAGCCGACTCCATTTCAGAGAGCAACCCATGCTTTCATACGTTCAATGCTCAACCTGCAACATTAGACCCAGCACCTGATGCACCTCTACTGAAAGGAATTACTGAGCAGGCGGCAGTTATCAGCACTTCTTGAGACCGACTTCGCTTTCTTCAAAGATTTGTTGACTCGGATCGTTGCTTCGTTTTCGTCGTTTCTTTTGGCGTTCTCAGCTATCGAAGTTTGAAGATGTTTGAAGGGTTGTTTGTGAGCTTTCTTTGCGCTATTAGTTTGTCACGAAGATCATACAGATCAACCCTAGCAAATGTAACATTTGAATGTAGCATTTACAGTGACAACGTTCGGTTGATGATAGGCATTTTGGCAATGTGGCGAGCGGAGCAAGAGGCGAAGCTACATGAGCAGCATGACTGTGGCAAACAAGGCCCAGCTTGACAAAGATGTGTCAGATAAACAAGAACAGTTGGAAGCTTAGGTTCGTTGATCACAGAAGCCCACAGTCACGAAAAGCAAGAGCACGTTTCCATCTTAAACATAGCTGATGCGCCGAGGTGGTTGAAATGCGCGCTTAATGCGGGTATTTTCCAGGTACCAGGTATATTTGTTGGTTCACATGCAGCCTCGGCAGGGCCTTGTTGAAGAATTGAGGAACACTCCTTCAAACATCAATGCCACGCCAAGGCTGGAGCAAATTACGCTTGGCCTCGAACTGGCTGCAGCCATTGTTGGCATGATTCCTTGGGGAAGCTACGCCGAGCCGGGCTCGAAAGGAGCAGAAGAGATGCAAAAGCAAGTCGGAGCGCAGCAAGTCGGGTTGTTAAAGAACAACTTGAAAAAAAAGGCTCGCGACTTGCAGAAGCAAGCTGGGAAGAACATTGGAAAGACGTTCAAGCAAAAGGTTTTGGATGGCATGAAGAACTTCTTGAAAAGCACTGCGAACAATTTGAAAAACGGGTGGAAGTGGGGGAAGAAAATGGCTGGGAAAGATGGTTGGGACCTCTACAAAGCTGCCTTCAAGATGGATGTCCCGAGAAGAACATCGAGCTATGAAGATGAGAAAAGACCGAAGCCCCCAACTCAAGGAGAATTCGAGAATATGACTGCCGAGCTCATCGATCAGATTCTCAGCTTGTCGTTGTTGCAGACAGGCTCGTGCGCCTAAACGAGGATTTACATTGATTTACTGAAAATAAAGGTTTTGCGGTTTGCGCGCCGTTTTTGCTTGTGTTTGGGCCTGTGAATCGTGAATGATTCGATCGACACCGATCGCATGTTTCAGTTGACAAGCACAAACCAGTTGTGCACTCGCTCGATGGCTCAAGAAACAAGGGACGACGTGCCGATCCCGACCTTTTTTCACGTGTGACCTTAAGGAGCCCAAGGCAGTGGTCTTGGCATTCCTGAGCGGCACCCCATGGAGCAGCGGCGGCGGCGGCAGCAGCAAAGATCACGGGAACGAAAGGATTCCCAGGCGCAGCAGCAGGTGGAGGTTGGTGTGGCCGACAAACGGCTTGATGCCCTCATCGAGGAGGAGATGAGAGCGCGCGCGCAATCAGTGCCTGTGGCGGCGGCGGAGATCAAGCGGCTGGGCGGTGCAGCGGCTGGCGGTGAGCACGGCCACGGAGGTCGATCCATGGCGGCATCCTCAGGAAGCCAGGGACAAGGACAACCTGAAGTTCGACAGCTGTTGAATGACCCGAGAGGCCAGGCAATGGGACTTGGGCATTTGCAGGAGGCAGTTCGACAGTCATTTGAGGTGCTGCAACATGCTCTTCAAAGGCCGAGCCCACAGCCGACCCTACTTGATCCTCTCCTTCGACCCGGCGATCATGGAGTTCATGCCGGTACCGGACTTGGAGGTCATCCTGGGCACGGGCTGGCGGCTGGTACTCCCTCGCGGCAAAGCGGGATGGAAGTTGAGCGCATGGGTGCATCACCCTACTTGGCTGGAGCTGGACGTGATGACCTACATCCTCGCGTGCTGGAGCCCTATCCTACCACACCGGTGGGACCTTTGGGGACGGTGAATCCCTTTTGGAGCGCTTCGGTTCAACAGGCGGCGAAGGGTGAAGCGCATGTTCGAGCATCGGCGACCTCGGCAACTGCAGGTGAACCACATCCTGCACCAAGTCCGGGCTTGGGAGATGTTGAACGTCTTCGTGAACGTATTCTGAAGGAGGCTGAGGAGACCTTCGCCCGGGAAGTCAAGAAGATGACGGACGGTGGAGATTCGGCTTCATTCACCTCGGTGCCGAGCGCCAAGGCGGAAGGACGGCATGATGCCAATGGGGAGCCGACAAAGCTTGGAGGACCACCTGACACTCCTTGATCCTCGAGGACGTGGAGATGGATTGAATGGTTCAGCGAACCTGATGAAACCGCTGGACTCAGTGACTGCGGCACTGCCTGAGGCAATGCGCAACCTTGAACTACCCCCACTACCAGCACCTTCGGCTGAGAATGCGGCCCTGCTGTTTGGAGATTGGCTGACGGTGATCACTCCATTGATGGGAGACCTCAGCACTTTGTCCAAGGAGTTTTGGGAATGGGTGCAACGGGAGGTGGAGGTCAAGTACAATGAATGGCTCCTGGCAAAGTTGAAGAACAGGTGTCCCCGAGGTTCCAACGTTTGGATCAGCGGGCGAGCTCGACACTGCTGGCCGCGCTTCCTGAGTTAGTGAGAAGAGACATTGTGGCAAGTCGAAGGGTGGCCACTCAGGCCATTTTGTACAAGCTCTTCACCATCTACCAGCCTGGTGGTAATGCAGAAAGGGGAAACTTGCTGCGCAGCCTGACCGAGGTGAAGTGTGGCAGCTCCATCCAGGACGCTTTGAATGCCATTCGAATGTGGCGCAGGTGGCTCTGTCGAGCTGAAGAATTGCATGTGGGCATCCCGGACTCCATGGTCTTGATTCAGGCCCTGTCCAAGATTGCAGAGAACCTCACCAAGCACGGAGGAAGCCAAGTGGGATTCCGCATTGCAGCTGCTCGACAAGAACTTGAAGTTGATCGAAGGCCCACCCTGATCACCACCAAGGAGTTTGCAGAGTTCCTTCAAGCTGAGGCGGAGGATTTGGTGTTGACTATGCCACAGCCGACCTTAACAAAGACTACAAGCCCGGCGGCAAAAAGCCAACTGACGGGGGGAGCTCAACCTACAATCAAAGCCTTGGGGGGAGGACTGGTCGGTGGAGATGGGCAACAGAAGACGAAACAAGCGTGCCGCTACTGGGGAAGCTCAACGGGATGCAAGCGTGGTGAATCTTGCACCTTTGCTCACACCTGGGAGGGCATCAACAAAGCAGATAGGTGCTTCCACTGCTCCGGCGAGAACCACTTTGCCAAGGATTGCCCCTATGGTCGAGAGCGATCGGGGAGAGATGGGAAGCGGGCCGCCAAGTTGAAGGGAGGTGGAAAACCGGAAAAGCCGGAAGAAGTGATTAAGTCTGGGACTCCATCAACTACATCGACTACACCAACGCCATTGACATCACCGTCTTCACCGTCCAAGGAGGATGAGAAAAAAGAAGGGGGTTCACAGGGAGGTGGAAAGGTGGAGGACCCAGCCAAGGAGCTGATTACTGAGGCCGCTTCACTGCTGAAGTCGTTGCGGGCCATGAAGAGAGTCAAATTGAAGCAGGTGAGCCTTGACCTTGAGCACACGGCCAAGGATAGATTCGCTTTGTTGGATGGTGGCGCGACACACGCATTGCGAATGGCTCACCAGCATGAACGTGATGATTTGAGCCCAGTGGAGGTAGAGCTTGCCCAGGGAACCACTACGTTGCACGAGCATCCCAACCACAGCACGCTTCTTTCGTTGACGGAGGTGGAGCCCATCAGACCGTTGAGTCTTTTGGTTGAGAAGGGGTTCAACATCTCGTGGAGGAAGACGGGCTGCTCGATTCGACATGCCGACCATGGTGAAGTGGCATGTGTGCTGAGGTTTGCATGCCCGGTGATGGATCGCCAGAGCGCTCTATCAATGCTGGACAGGTTTGAGGCGGAGGAGAAGAGTGCTCATGTGTTGGATCCCGAGCAGCTGGCTTGGTGGGGCACTAACTTCCCTGAGGTACCACCTGAGGTACTACGCCATATGGGAGGCCAAGGACGTGAACCAGAGCAGCCTCCATGGAACAGGAGAACCAGGCGAACCCATGCCAGGGCCAAGGGGGTGATCATCAACCTCTTTTGTGGACCAAGCCCCAAGAAATGGAATGGGATTGGAGGAGACTCCTTTGTTTGGATCCACTTGGACACCTTGCTGGGCGCGCAATACAGCCTACACAACCCACAGGTTTGGGCCTATGTTTGGGGGTTAGCTTCCAAAGGAAAAGTGGCTGCGATTCTTGGAGGTCCGCCATGCCGCACTGTGTCAAGGATGCGAAATGCTTCACCAGGACCAAGACGGCTTCGGGGCAGAGGAGAAGACCGATGGCACCTCCAGAACCTCCAGGACTACGAGCTCAACCTCGTGAACAGTGATTCAGCCCTCTGCTTGAAACAGATGGCACTATGGGTGCGTGCGCAGGAATGCAAACGCTGGAAGCAGGATGTTGGCATGCTCTTGGAATCCCCGATGGATCCGGCGTCCTATTTGAAGGACGAGAATGAGGCGATGACAGCGCCGTCGTTCTGGAACTTCCCGGAGATCACGTCCTGGCTAGATCAAGGAGGACTACGCCTCATACACTTCGACCAAGGATCAATGGGCCACGCCCGAAGAAAGCCGACGACGATCCTCTCAAATTTGCATCAACTACAAGGTCTACGAGGAGATGGTCATGAATCTGGACCACTTCCAGCATCCTTGTCAAGAAGAATGGATGCATCTAAAGAATGGGCAGCTTGGGCTCCTGGCTTCCAGCACTCGATGACCTGGTTTCTGTCGTCTTTGACGTTGGAGGAACAGGGGGAGTGCATACCACAAATGGCCAAATTGGACATGGATGCTTGGAGACGCCATGTACATCAAGGGCACATCCCGTTCAGATCGGACTGCCGCATTTGTGCTGAAGCGATGGGGTGTGACGCTCCACACCGTCGAGTTGGAGGTGCATCCACTCACTTCGTCCTGTCAGTTGACATTTGTGGCCCCTTCGAAGCAGGGAAGGACTATGGGACGGGCATGTTCTGCCGTTATGCCCTAGTTGGAACTGTGGCAGTACCCATCCTGGGTGATCTTCCGGGAGCAGGTGATGAACCTTGTGACCACCCTGAAGCTTTGAAGGAAGTGCCCGAATTGCCAGAGCTGGAGGAGGAAACTGAAATGGTGACGGCGGAGGAAGCTGAAGGGGTGAACCGGGACCGTGGTGAATCCGAAGATGGAGAGATTGCTAAATCCACGGAGGCCATGCACTTCCAGAACCTCACCGTTGTCGAAGTGATGCAGAGCAGGTCAGTTGGCTCCATCGTCCAGGCCTTGTCGAAGGTGTATGCGAAGTTCAAGTCGCTGGGGGTACAGATTTTCCGCCTCCATAGCGATCGTGAGAAATCCTTTTTGGCCAAACCAGCGCAGCGCTGGTGTCAAACTCGAAGCCTCCTACAAACCATGACAGGAGGAGATGATGCAAAAAGCAACGGCCAAATCAAGCGGCGCACCAGATTGCTTCTACATGAAAGTGGGCTCCCGCACGGGTTCTGGGTATGTGCACTGAGACATGCTGCAGAACATCGTCTTCGAGCTCAACTACATCGTCTGGGCGTAGTGACCCGCCCAATGGTGAGATTCGCTGCAACGATGTCTGTCAAGACGAAACGCTGGCACCGTGCAGGTCAATTGAGTAACCCCTTTCGCAGCATGCAAATTCTGGGCCCAAGTCCCTTTATGTCCAACGGCTGGCTGGCAAGAGACCGTCGAGGCCTTGTTCAACACGTGAGGTCAGCCTGGGTTCAAGCTGAAGGCGCTGATCATGCCCACCATGAACTACAATTGGCTGATGCAGAAGCCCTTCAACCAGTTCGACGTCGCCTTCATGGAAAACAACCACCTGCGGAGGAGGATCCTTTGGAGGGGGTGGTCGGGGCTTTGTACCAACCTGCGTTGACTGCGCTGCAGGTTGGGGGGGGGATGACCTCCTTGGCTTTTGATTCTGAGCTTCTTGAATCTGAGCCCTTTGATTCTGAGCCGCTGGAGTCGAACTGTTTGGGCTCGCTGGATTGGGGATGGGAAGATAGCCATGCAGCTGGGGAAACTACATGTTTGCCGAGACCTTCTACCGGGACACCACCTACTACCAGGACGATGGCGGAGGACCATGGCGGAGGTAGGGCGGAGAACCTTGGCGGAGGAAAGGCGGAGGACCAAACCCTAGCCAGTGGTTGGGAAGAGCAGGAGAAACTGCACAAGCAGGAGCTGTTCGAGCACTGGTCATTGAAGAGATTGTGGTGTGATGAGCTCAAGGAGGTTGCAGTGGGAGCGGAAGAAGGTCGTGAACGAGGAGAGTGGCTCCATTGGTTGGAAACATCTGTGCGTTTGAAGGAAGCGGCCCTGGAAGCGCAACATCAAGAGCTTGAAAATGCGTTGTGGGCGAAACTGGCTTCGATGAATGAACCCCAGGCCACAACAGGAACGTTTTCGAGGCCGAGCACAGTTCTCCAGACATATACAGTGCCACTTCAACAGGTGCGACGCGAACTGGAAAAGTGGAAGGAGCCATTGTCTGATGAATATGTCTCCCTCACCTCCAACACCCGAGCTCTCCGACCCACTACAGTTGAAGCCTTGAAGGACCACCCGAACTATGCTGAGATGGAGATTGCGCCGGCCATGGTTGTCCCCACGGTGAAGGCACCGTTTGGAAAGCATCGAGCACGCATGGTCATCTGCGGCAACCGGGTGGAGTGGGCTGATCCTGACCAGGCGTCAAAAGCAGCTCTGCAAGATCATCATGATGATGGACGTGAAGTTCTTTTTGGGAACTATGCAGGTGGGGCAGACGCCACTTTGTTGCGGTGTCTTTTCCGCAAGGCTGCAAATGAATCTTGGACCCTAGGGTCCATTGACGTGAAAACAGCCTTTTTGCTGGCACCACGTCAGCGGGCAAAGGAATCACTACTTGTTGCGGTTCCTCCTCGTGTGCTCGTAGAGGCTGGAATTGTCACGGAGTCCGAACGCTGGATCATCGACAAGGCCATGTACGGCTTGGAATCCAGTCCTGCTGATTGGCGGATCTACAGGGACGCCGACGCCCGAGGGGAATCTTTGGCAGGTGATCGCACGCCGTGGGCCCGGATGATGTTGTCCGGAGTGCACTCCAGAGAATAATGGAGGAATGGAAGTGCTCCGACCCTGAGTTTGTCCAAGAAGGACGATGGATGAAGTACTGTGGCTTTGAATTGTCGTGGGACCATGCCAAGAGCGAGCTGATCATCGGCCAGGAAGCCTACACTTTGGACCTGCTCAGCCGCCATGAACCTGTAGCACACAAGGCCACGCCTCTGCCGGGAACGCTGTGTGATGAACCTGAGGAAAAACCAACTGCAGAGCAGATCAAGGCTGCTCAAGGGCTGGTCGGCGAATTGCTGTGGCTCTCAACGAGAACACGCCCTGATTTGTCTTTCGCAGTAGCCTGGCTTGGTCAGGGTGTGGGCAAATATCCAGCTCGTGTTTGTGAATATGGTAAGCATGTTTTGGGCTATGTCACCAACACCTCCAATGTCTGTTTGAGATACGGAAAGTGTTCACCTGATTTGGAGGAGGGGTCCGACCTGGCTTTCAAGAGTACCATGAAGAAGCTGGAGATTTTTTGTGATGCCTCTTTCGCCCCGCCGGGTGGACGAGGACAGCAGGGGGTCATTGTGCGTTATGGTGGTGCTCCTGTACAATGGGAATCAAAGTTGCAACCTTTTGCCACCCTCTCCAGCTCGGAAGCTACTTGGATGGTGTGGTAATGGGGGAATCCACCAGCGTCATTGTGAACATTTTGGAGCAGGGGATGCTGGATGATGAATTGGGTGTTCTTTATGGGGACAGCCAAACTGGTTTGAAGATTTTGCAAGCCCCGGACGGTGCCTGGAGAACAAGGCATTTGAGGCTTCGGTGCTTCGCCATTCGTGAACGCGTCAACATGGGGCTATGGAAGGTGAGGCGCTTGGCAGGTGCAAAGCTGGCAGCTGATTTGTTGACCAAGCCGGTCACGCAGCTGGGCGCCTGGCAGGCCTTCATGCTCTTCATGAACTTGCGCGCTGCAGCTTCAAAGACAGCGAGTGAGGGTCCTGAGACTCCGGGGGAGCAGCGGTCCAAAGTGGCTGTGCTTGCGGGGGTGGTAGCCGGCTTAGCTGCTTGGAGACCACTCGAAGCCTTGAGCAAGATTGCTCGGCTGGTAGGCATCGCCGCGATAGTTGCTCACCTAGCTAGCTGTTGGAGAAACATCAAAAGAGCCACTGGCCAACAAGATCCGCTGAGGGAAGATCAACCCGGCGGCATTTTCCAAGAAAAGAAAGTGAACACAAGAGCCACTGGCCTTCAAGATCCGTTGAGGGAAGACGAACCCAACGGCATTTTCCAATCACCTCACGAGGTGAGAACCTCTAGCCTACAAGGCTCCCGAATCGGCGCGCGCGCGTTGGGCCATGGAATGGGGGGAGCAGCGATGCGCTTGGCAGCATTCCGCTCGCCGCTGCCGCAGACGGGGCCGCCGTGGGAATGGTATTCATTCTCCCTACCACCTCAAGGCCGAGACCGGTGGGGACGGCTTGCTGATGGATGGTGGGTTCGCCACCATGTGAAACCAAGGGTGCGACCTTTTCACCCGCTTCATCGCCAAACGCCGGTTGAAGGCAGCCGCCTCCAGAACCTGAGGACAGTGGTGGTTTGGTGCCATGGCGAGAAGCAGGTGATCCAAGATGACTGGCGGGATGGGACTTCGCCAGTGATGCCTCCGAATGAGCCATGGGTTGGCTACACCTTTTTCCAAGAGATCACTCCGGCGGGAAGCGGGGCGACTCAAGAAACTTTGACATCGGGGAGTTCTTCGACGCCCCAACCTGTGAGTTTGACTACTTCCTCGATGGGCAGCGGCTCGTCTGGTCCGCCGCCAATGCCGAGGCCAGCTGAACAGCTCACGGTGCAGCCGGCGCCAAGACCTTTGCCGAGCGAACAGCCTACTGTGCCGGAGTCAGAGGAGCTGCAAACTGAGTCCAGCTATGCCCGAAGGGGCACCAATGAAACTATCAGCTCTTCTGGCACGCCGGGCGGGCAGCAGGGCTATGGGGGGGAAACTACAAGCTCCTCAACTTCAAGGAGATCCTCAGCGACAGCTCGAGGCCTGCAATCGATGGAGGGTGGCTTGTCCTTAGGCTACCTGAATACGCTGGAAAGCCATGCGAGAAGGGGCGAAGCGGAGCCAATCTATGAAGAGGGTGTGAACCCTGCGACCGGGGTCTACTGGTCTGAGGGGCCGCAAGGCCATGATGGCATGACCCGGGACGAAGAAGAACGGGACGATTGGCTCTACGCCCTGCGGATGGAGGGTCTGACGCAGCCGGGCGACCGGATGGCGGAATTGCTGCCGCCTGAGGCGGATCAGCTGCCTGTGTGGATGGGGGTTGGCACGCAAATGCCTCCACCACGTGCACCTAGCCGAACAGCACGAGAAGAAGATCCAAATGACTCTGAGGGCAGCTTTGAGTTTTTCTGCTGAAGGAAACACTTCTTTTGGAATGCAAGGCAGACGAAAAAACCTGCCGAGCATAAAAGAGCACTCGTACCTGCAACGCAGGTAGGGGGAGTGTGAATCGTGAATGATTCGATCGACACCGATCGCATGTTTAAGTTGACAAGCACAAACCAGTTGTGCGCTCGCTCGATGGCTCAAGAAACAAGGGACGACGTGCCGATCCCGACCTTTTTTCATGTGTGACCTTCCTTAGGGCCAAGTCAACAACTTAAAAAGCTTCTCTTCCCAAAAGCCGCAGCAGGGCTGTTTGCTTTCAAGCAGTTTGCAAGCTCCGGACCAGAACCATGCGCAGCAGCTATAGCATGTGCTCATGGTCTCACCATGCATCCACTCCGGGCTTACACCATCAGTGCTGAGCAGATGTAGCACTTAGCCGAGTAAGTTTAGATTTGCAGCAGAGTTTGATGGCACCAACCAGCTAACGGGAATGACATGTTTAAAGTCCTTCATGAGAGGATCCAACAAAAACCCTTCAGACGTTTGCCAGTGCTCGCCCCGTAGCAGTTCTGGGAGTCCTTGCTCTTGGGATGTATCCAACCCTTCCAAAGGTGATATTTGATGTGTTGGATACTTGCCACATGCATCTACTACATGCATGATGCGCTACTTTTGCAACGCGCTGCCACACTGTGGCTAAGAGTTGATGGTGGATTCGTCGACGCAGTGAGGAATGAACGATATTGCAACATATTCCAACCCTGAGGTGATATACGTGTAGAACGTCTTGAAACAATGCCAAGGTGAATTACTTGGTCAAGATCTGAAACAGTTGGTTGGGGTGCTGGGTTCCAAGCAAGGTTGTTTGATACTAGTAGTAGCTCTGCGTTTGTCCCAATGTATTGCCTAAGAAACGACAGAGTTCATCCGATATTGCCCTTCAAGCAATCCGGCTTGGGAACGGAATTCCCAAGCGCCCTTTTCTCAAGGCGTGAAGATGGGAATCTAGAGATTACGCTTTACAAGTGATTCACAGCAGGATTAAATGCCACCCTGAGTGCACACCCTTGCGATAGCAGCATCGGACAGCATTTATATACATGGAATTCGGAGCTCTGCGTGACCAATTTGTTGGCTAGATACTGCGGCATCAAAGGGTCCAGATTGAGTCACACACTATACATACAGATAGATGAATATTGGTCGTGAACATTTCTGTATTGTGAAAACAAGAAACTTAGGGCTCAAAGAAGCGCGAAGGAAAAGAAAGTGGTTGATATGTTTGTTTTGCTTTGCTTTATCTCCTCACAGAATGAGGACAGTTCCACAGCTGAGTGGATCCTATGCCGCAGATCTCTCAGCATTGGCAGAAGCTGGGTGGAAAGATTGTCTTCCCATCCAGTTTGGCTTGTCCAAAGTCATGTGTGACCTGTTTTGCATTGAAGATGCCGTAACAGCGGGTACTTCTGCAGTCTTGGAAAGTTTGCAATATTCGCATTCGGTGCTCATGACGAATATCCAATCATTGCTGGATTACCAGACGCAGTACTTGCTGTGGGCAATTGGCTCAGTGATGGATTCAAAGAAGGTACAGCAGGAACCGCATGAGATGCTCTCCGCATCTGCTTTGTTGGAAGACATGCGCCACCTGGATCTCGCTGACATGCCAAACCTGGGCCGGGAGATTCTGGATTGGCATCAAAGAGCCGGCAACGAGCTCTTATCACGAGTAGCTGGTATGTATATCAATGCGTCGACCGCCAATTGGCCTCACAGAATAAAATTGATCAAGGGCATGCTGCAGCATTATCACTCTAGTCTCCACGAACGCCTTCGAGAACACCGGAAGTTGCCTGCTTCTTCTGCTGCCCAAAAGCAGATCAAGAGCAAGTTGCAGCTGCTTCGTTCCTTGGCCATGTAGCATAGATTTTCAGAAGTTTGCTCCTATTGTGCAATGTTGCGCACATGTTTGTCGAAGTAGCAAGTGGGAAGACTTTGTTTTCAACATGTTTCAACAAAGTGGACCTTTTTGCCGGCAATTTCAGGCGATCAAGCGTCAGAACACCGAGAAATTGCGCATGTGGTCAAATCATTGCGGATGCAGCCTTTCCAACCTTTGACTCTGGATTTAAATGACCAAGTGGTGTGGACGTCCGTTTTGGAATCGTTTCTTCGAAACCATGAGAAGCATGACGCCTTCATCATGCTGAACTTGAAAGCTTTGGACCAAGCTGAGTACGCGATCAGTTTGGCTCACAATTTCTCCCAATGCGCAGGCAGTTCAAACGTGCACTTTCTGCTGTGCTCATTTGCGCTCATGATTTGGAAATTTCAAATATTTGCAAATCTGGAATTGATTTGTAATCTAGTTGTGTCATATGCGCATGCTCAACGCATATATTTCTGCAAAAGCTGGGCCACATGCAGATTCTGTGCCCCTAAAAAAACTACTGATTTGAGACGATTTGGCAATAGGTTTGTCAAACTATTGCTTTGAATGTTGGTCCGCACACTGAGCGGTGCTTACCAAGATCGGACCCGGATGCGCTAAGAGATCGTTGCCTTTCTTGGGATTTCGTTGCTTGCCAGCCTGTCTTGCACGCAACCATTCGCAACCTCGGGAAGTCTTGCGAAGCAAGTCAATCACACTAATTAGGCGGTGCAAAAATGTTTCAACATGTTCAACAGAAAACAAAGGGGCAAGGCAAGGGATTCTAGTGCGACGCTTGCTTCTTTGAAAACATTTTGTGTTTGCAGTAAGACAACATTTCAAGAATGTAATGCTATTTCCGGAGGCGCTGACACCGCGGTGCTACGAGAGGCCTGGCAACGAGCCATGCAGGCCGAGGAAAAAAGTAGCGAAGCGTTGCTGGACGCATGGTCCGCAAGCATCACCACATCGGAGCGTGTGGAAGTTGCCGTGAAGGCCTCAAAGTTTCCGTGTCGGGTTGAAGCTATGGCCCAACAATAGGGTACTCAAACCCACTGGTGAAAGGATATTTAATCCAAATTATGTGAGTCACCGGCTTTTGCTTTTTGAGCCATAGCCATTCACTATCATTCACTGTATCGTTTAACGAGTTTTGAAGTCTCTTCAAATTCGGCTCGTTGCCGCGTGTCGCTTGTGCTTGGTGAGGATCAAGGCTTCTTAGACCATTTGGTCCAGAATGTCGGCCTTGGAGAGATCGCCGTTGATGGAGTTCAGTGTGGCAACGGAACTCGTCGCATGCAAGAGCTCTATGGACGAGCAGTATCAACGGCAGTTGCATCCCTGCACCCACTGGCAATGCAGCTCAATACGTTTGAGGCGGAAAACCGGGAGGGAGGAAGGGAGGGAGGGACGGAGGGAGGGAAAGCGCTGTACTTGCAACGGGGAGTGCATGTCACCGTTCGAGATAGTAGAGGTCAGAAACACCCCTATGAACCGACTCGATCGACCAGGTTCTCAGGATTTGGACCAAACCTGATGGGTTGGAGCTAGACTGGATGGCTGCATGAACGTTGGGCTTTCGTTGCTTGTTACGGTTCAGGTACTTGCCCACTACCAGGACATGCTTTGCTCAGGTTTATGTGTGTGTTTGCTTGAGATGCTTTTTGCTGTCATTGAGACTCAGATTGCCGAAGTCCCCTGTAATTAAGAAATGAGCAAATTAATGCAAACAACAACCGAACGGTGAAGCTGTTGCAGTCCAGCCACGTGGGCATGCTACTGATGTTGAGGCAAGACAACGCACCCAATAAATGACCATACCAAGTCTCAGCTAATGAGAACACTGGCGCAACGTGAACCGAACACTGAGGCAGCAAATCCTCTACTGAAAGGATAGGCAACGATCACTGACAAGGCCATCGGCAGCACCGCACATTCCAAAGCATGAGGTATGGCATCAGGACCGTTAGACCGGCGACGCCACCAAGTCACCACAAATGCAGTTGGAATGCAATTAAGAACAAGAAGCTACTAGAGGCTCCTGGCATCGCTACTAGGAGCAAGGACGCTACTAGGGGTTCTGGCCTTACTACTAGGAACAAGAAGCTACTAGGGGCTCCTGGCATTAAGTGCAATCAGCCGAAGATGATGTGCTTTCAAAGCTGTCCACTCGATTCAACTGCATACATTGAACAAACTCCAAAGAAGGCCTCGTATCACCCCTCACTCAACCGAACTGGTTTCGAGTATGGAACCTTTTTGAATTAGACTTGACCCAAACAATTACGCACATTTTCCTTTAGAAAACTCCAATGCGCAGGCTCGGCAACATTGTTTTCCAAATGCGACAGGCGCTGAACCAGTCGGACCTGTTGATGTTGCAAAAATCGAGCAAACGAACACCTAACGGAGTGACGGAATACGCCAAATCATACCGAATAGAGTTCCTCTCCCCGCTTTTTCCCGTGATTTCAAATCTGCAGGGATGGTCAGGCTCTCATGGCTCTCATGTTCCTTTTGTTTCCTTTCGCAGAGTCAACATTTTCGAACATGGTTTACTAATTACACGACAAATTTGCAAATTCAGGCTAGCACACAACTTTCCGTCAATGACGCCCCATAGAAGCAATGCTCCAGATGACTTCAATGACGAAAGCCATTCTTAGATGTTTTTGAAATTGCAAGTGTGTTTTTGTCCATGCGTGTTTCCATTTCGAATCCTAGGAGCGGCAGCTGTTGCATAGGAGGCTCGACTACATCCCGCGTGGATCTACTCCCGCATCCGGTGAGCTGAAGAGGATATTGACCGCAATTTCGGATCCTTCGCAACCTCAAGGTGCGGGACGCTACTAGTGGCTCCTGGCATCGCTACTAGGAACAAGGGCCTTACTAGGAACAAGAAGCTAGTAGAAACAAATAGAAACAATATACAAATAGAATTTATTTAAAATGGCATAGAAGGCTACTAGGACCTTTCCGATTCACGATTGTTCCAATCATGTGTCTATCGAAATTGGTCAGGTCGTGCCTTAGCTTTGCGGGCAGCGAAGCTCTGTAAACCAAACTGCACAGATGATGCTTGGAGCGGAGCACTTGAGCTTCTTCAACCAGAACCTGTAAAGGCTCTTTTGTTGCTGTGACCGACAAGCGGTGCACAGAGAGTTCCAAAGCCAGCAGAAGACTGGTGAACAAGCATGCTGCAAAAAACACGGAGAGTCTGGGGAGCCGAGGAGCAGAACATGGAAATCGTGAGTTTGACGATTCTAATCGATTGCCACTGATTCTCGTGAACTAATCAAATGAATATAAATAAATCATAGTAAATCACTTTGCAACATTGTCTGGCTGTGGCAAAGTCACACGAGGATGTGCTAACAATCTGACCAAAAATTGACCAAGAGAAAAGTGCATGGGACATCCAAGAGAAGCATCTGAGCGATCACCGTATGGGCCAATGGCCACCTTCGTATGGCCAGACATCTCAAAACCCGGCACTAGCTAACCACCAAACAGACACTGCAATAGTGAGGTGACCAAGTAGCCAAGCACCGTACCAACTACGCCATGAGGAACACGAACAGCCTTTAGGAACAGAAAAACATTTTGCGTGCAAGAAAAGAAGAGCGTAATCTATACTAAAGTATAACGATACCCTTGTGATTTTACATGCACGCAGTGTTTCCACGATATCTTGCAGCATGGCAAACACATGAACTTGCCACATATAGAATTTGTTGTACTTTCATCTACTGTGTTTCCCCGAATATACTTGCAGAGGTTTTATCCAGTCCACGGCGCATGTCTCCTAACTGTGCCACGCAGTATTGAAAACGGTTTGTTGTCAGCGGCCATGACGTTGTCAAGCTGTTCAAAAACAGAGATGAATTGTAGTTTCGGCGCTACACCCCACTTTCTTTTTTGCACTGCAGTATTGCTGCAGGCTTTTGTCGGAAGACTGCGATGATGACAGACATGCGAATACATGCTACATCTCCAAACCACGTGGCCATGCAGGCACTCGTATACTCGCAAATGTTTTAAGTGTTGGCATCCCTGTATTATTTGCTGCAGGTTGCTAGTTCGTTGAACTCTAGTAGGCCGGGCGCACTTTTCTATGAACGAAAGCAAAAGAAGTCTAGCAATTGTACGGGCGTGTAAGCGCACAATGATGGAAAGTCTGAGATCTATGTGGTAAACTTGGTAAACCCTTCAATCTAGTCAAAACCAGTGGTACGCCCGACATTCAGATGCCTTTGGACAGGGCGCGCATTGATAGCTTTGATGCCGCAATGAACACTGAGTTGGGTTCCTGAGCTCTGTGACCCGAGCCTCAGGAGAACATCATAAAACCGATAGAACATAGTAAAACATAGAACCATATAGAACCATAGTTTCATGATGTTTCATATGCAAAATTTACCGAAAAGACGGCTCAAGCAATGGAGATTCAAGCGATCCAAGTGGTGCCTCAAAAGCCGAGCCTTGGTGGAACTTGGCGGCGCTGAAAGGACAACATGCATGAGTCGTTTTTTTCTTGTTTCTTGTCGTTCATGTCATTTTCTTTAATTAATAGCCGTTGGTATTGACAAGATCAGGTCAATTTTGTTGGACCCACTGTTCTTCACAATAATGTTTTTTTGGAATCCAAGTTTGTGCTGGCATGTTACGAACCTCGGTTCCAAAGATGTCACGTTAAATATAGGCCAGATGCTGGAGAAGAGATTTCTTAAGTAGAAAAAAAATAAATAAACTCAATATCAGCTGTGATGCAATGGCTTTGACCCTCAGAACTCAGAACTCATTGATAGTATCTTCATTTTGGATAATCTTGGATGTGCCTTCAATTACGTATTCCTTTCTGTCTTTCTTTCTTTCTTTCTTTGCCCTTCCTTCTGCTTGGTGTGAGGCAGGGACGTGGGAATTTGACATGGTCGGCTTGCCATCCACCTTCTTGTGGAGCGCATATCACTCACACCAGCCCTTACCATCACAAGATCCACATAATCCCAAAGTTTCATGGAGAATGGTGGCGCGGTATTGTTGGTAATGCAAGTGTCCACTTCGTGCAAATCACCAATCACAACCCAGTCCTGCATCCATTTTGGGAAACATTTTGGGCATGCCTTAACGTCTTCTGTTCATGGGCTACACAAACTTGTTTCTGACCATGTGTTCCCAGATTTCATGTTTATTTGTTGGTTTCGAAGTGTTACTTGGTAGAGTTGGAAAGCCCTGACATTTCCACCAAAGCAACCCCATTTAAGGAATGCAGCCGATACCTCTTTAACTTTCTGGCTGAGCGGGATGGCTCTTGGGGGGGCTGGATTGGTGCCATACAGCAATGAGACAAAATAAAATACGCAGTTCTCCAATCTTCAACCACAAACACTTGTCTTTGAACATGTCTTCTCAAATGCTATTCTTTATGAAAGCTTATTGAAGATCTTCAGGCGCATTCAACTTGGGGTGTGACATGGTAAGCATAAAACAATCATGGGGTCAAACATAGTATTTTCCTCGAGTAGCCTTCTTTTGGATCTTCCAATAGCGTAGTCAGATTGTGCGTGTTCAACGTTGGACCCCTATAATAAACTATTCCCCATGAATTAACTTATTTAGGAGGCCCTCGCGACCCCAAAAAAACTACTTTATGCGTTCTTCAATTATTTGCAGGATGGCTCCAACCGGTTCCCAAAAGAAGGCATTCTTTTTGTACTCTAGATGGCGTTGTTTGAGCTTGTTCTGGATATGAAGTACAAGCATAGATCCAGCGGTCAGGCAGGTTAACACGCCAAGCAAAGAAGCAAAGCAGTCGTTGGTATGTGTCGTTGCGCCCAGGACTTCCCATTCAGATTCTTTGCTGCAATTTCAGATGCGCCACGCACGATTTTAGCAATGATTAGCAAATATGCAAGACATGTTGCCGGAGGACAGCCAAATTTTGGTTGATTCTCTTGTGATTTGATCCGAATCTCACCATCTATTTGGCTTGAACACAGACATACAAAGAATAGAAGGTTTTTGTGCCCCGATCCTGAAAAGATTGAGGATGACTGGTGATGATGATGGGACATATCATACTTTTCAAAAATACATGGGGCATGTTCGCTGCCCTTTTTGGTTTAACACCGCTACTGTTTGTTTGAAATACGCAATGCATGAAAGCGAGGACTTGGCTCAATCTGGTCATTTGGTGCAGGGCGGTCACACCGTTGGTGGTCCACCTGTAAAACTTGTGACTTTGCTGCGGATTGCCTTTGTGTATATTGTAGCGCATGCTTGGTCGAACCAGTGTTTCAATTTGTTTCCCGCACAGTCTTTCACTTAGTGGATATGCCAAGGCATTTGCTGAAAAAGTTGATGAAGAAAAGTCCAGCTTGTGGGTTCTACATCAGGCTGCTACTGATGGCGATGAAGTGAGGATAAAGAGCCTGTTGCAACAAAAGGCTGATGCAACGCTGGCAGATCAATCCGGAAGAACTCCTCTTCACTATGCAGGGCTTCATGGCCACAAAGATGTCTTTTCCCTCTTGGTGCAACATGGTGCCAGTCTGCTCACTCGCGATGAGGACAATCGCACCGCTGTTGGCTATTTGGAAGATAATTATCCTGATAGCTTTCGAGATCTTCTGGTCACAGGTGTATTGGAGGGACATGGGAGAATCTCGATATGGCTTCAGAGGTACTTGTTGGGAGGCAACTTTTCTCGCCGTGTCTTATTTTCTGTAGGCTGAAATAGTCTTACTGTAGTACAAGTGCTTTTATTGAGAGCATGGGCGAGACTGCAGGTATCTGGCTACAGGAGATTCTTTGGAGAGAAGGAGCTCTGTGTGTTGAAGCAGTGGACCTGTTGGTTCATGATGGCTTCGTTGAGGCCTGTGAAAAGCTTGGCGTCGAACTGTGCACCCGCAAGAAGTGCCAGACATTGGTAGAAACCATGGTAAAACTCGGTAAAGTCATTCCTGTTAGAAGCTATTAGGTTGGAGGCCATCGCTAGAAATGACCGAGGATTCAACACCTCGAAAGGCACTTCACCCAACAAGGGCGGACTCTCTTGACTCAAACTTGAGTTGTAAACCAGTCAATACTCACAGCAGAAGAAACAAAACTATTTTTGAAGGTTGAACAACCAGTTACTCTGTTTTCTGATGTTTTCTGTCTATTCTCTCCAGGGCGCCTGGCCACGCCGCGCTCGTTTGAATGGCCATTTGCGGGCAATCCTGGCGCCGCTGGCACCCCAGTCAGCGATCGGGAGGCGGTTCAGCGAGCGGCGAGAGACATCTAAGGACGAGACGTATTTGATATTCATTGTTCAAAGCAAAAATGATTCCAAGGTTTGTTTCAGGTGTATTTTGGGACTACCATCACATACGTATTGCTTTCCTTGTTTCTTTTTGGGTTTGTTTATTGTTGTTTCTCGGGTCCACTGATGGGCTTGTTGCTTTTGCAGGAGGCCTTTGGCGTCCTGTACAAGCACGTGGATTTGACACGGCGCAATTGTTTACATCGAGCACAAGTCAAGGTAGATCTCAAAGTATTGCCTTTCACAGCATCGTTGGTATGCAGCAAAGAAATATTACTGGCTCTAGCAACCACTCCGAAGCTAGTTGGATAATGGCGCAGGGTGCGTTCAAAGGTCGAGTCAAGCTAAATATGTTTCTGTTGCTTTGATTGTTATTTTTGTAAAGGGCATTTGTAACACGATGTCGATGTTTGCAATTTTTGGAAGGAACGACCAGACCTTATCCACGGATGCGGTGACCGCTATGGTCGAAGCAGCGTGGATCCAGTTCCGCCTCTTCACAGCAGCCGACATATTTTTGAGCGTGGTGAACGTGTGCTGGCATTAAATCGAAAGGGGACGGACCCACATCTAATTAACCTTGACCAATCCGTTGACTGCTTGGAAGCACCTGGTTTCAGGTGCAAGCCTTTGCAAATGAATAGTATATAGCGGATATCATATTGGCTTCCTCTTTGTTTCCCTTCGTCTACCAACTAGTGTTGCATCGTTCAAAAGGTTCCTCGCTAGCTGTGGCTGAGGTGCTACTGCTGTGTTACATCTCCTTCTCCTTTATCGAAGGAAGGCTCCTGCTTCCCTGGCATGGGCCCCAGGTGATGGGAGAAGACATCCGGATCAGCAGGGTCTTGTTGGCCATCTTGCAATCCCTCGCTATTTCGCTGTTGCCATGACTTTCGCCGTTTTGATCCGCTCGATTCCAAGCGTCCAAGAAAGTTCATCCAATGGACGTTCCTGCTCTTTTTGGAATGAGGTCCACACAGGCGTTGTGGGCTGTCGCTGTGCCTCGGCTGCAGATTCGGCTTGGATAAAGGCCACTCACTGGGATGCCCCTTTCCAGTAGCTTACCAAAGGATCATGCAGGAAAGTGGACAGGAGATGTTCAAGGTTAATGTCAACCGAAAGTACGTGTATTGCATCAAAAGGAGCTGGAATCTACTGGCAATGCTCCAGGATTGAATATGATATTAGTGCTCCGAGGTCATCAATTTGAAGAAAGCGTCAGAGGTGCTTGGACGGCTTTGTGAGATTCAACTGCAGAAGTTTTGGCGAGTGCTGAAGTGGCTTTGCCGTCCTCAGGTAGGGGTGAGAAACACATCGATGACAGATGTGGTTTTGCTGTTCTTCGTATGTGTTCCGAATCGTTTCTTCTGCTCTCCACACAGTTCGATGTTCGGAGGATGCGATCGAAGGCCGAAGGAACCTGAGCGCAACTATGTGCAGTCTAGGGGAAACCAGGATCCTGGAGCAAGCGGAGTTTGCCAACAGGTTGAATCTGAAACAGCTTGATTGGACACCTTGTGAATCGCCATCTCGCAGGTATAAAAAGTTCTCGTCCCAACTCTCCTCCAACTGATTTCTGTAGCTTCGTTGGCGGTAGGAAATCAGTCTCGGTGCCCACTGAAATGTCAAAAACATACAGTATCTTGCAAGGCTCCAAACCACTTCGCGCACTCCGACTCCAAGGTGTACCTTGCACACATGATCCAAGACAAATTCAATAAGCTCTCGACTGACTAGTCTCAAAAAAAGTCAAGCTCCGCTTGTCCACGTAGATTTGGCGTGGATATCACGATATCCGACATCGGACGATATCGCAAAAGGGAATTGCAGCATCGTAGATCCAGAGCAGATCAGGTCGAGAGCGTTCCAAGGCCATGGAGGCCGTCACGATGTGGGATTACATAAAAGGTGCTCCCGCAACGCCGCATTTGTTCCATTCGAAGGGGCGAGAAAGTCGTCATGGTGAGGCTTGGATCCAACTTGGATGGTGTACAGGTTGGGGATGTCGAGTAATTGGGCGCACGATGCCACGCAGGGTACCCCTCGGCAGCGCGCAAACTGTTGGGCAACGAGGATGAGACAGCATGTTGTGAACAGTTTTTGTCATTGAGGCCAGAGTCAGGTCGACGCACCAGCATGTTGTGAACAAGTGAAGCTGAATGGCTGTGGTGGAGACCCAAAAGGAGGAGGAAGTTCTGTGTGGTAGAAAATGTGGCGATGCGGAGGATGAAAAACTGTTTTCCAGCTGTTTGATAAAACTATGTCCAGAAGGAGGTCGGGCATTTGATCGGATGGCATGTGCACGAGAGGCATCAACGTCCACTTGGGAGAGCCAATGGTAGGGCCATCGGTGTGGGTCGGAAAGAAGTGTCGAGCTCGAAGAAACGAACATATCGCCGAAGAAGTGAAAGAACCGCAAGGTTCAACAGTTGCCTTGTCAACGGAAAACGTGAAAATAGACTGAGAATCCATCATATGTGACCGTTCTTCGGGGACCACATGACGAGCCATTGGGGGCCCCTATAAGAAGCCTAAAAAGATGGGAAGCCTCCTTGCAAACCAGGTGCCAGGCACCTGAAATCTAAAGATGCATCCCAAACCATGCAAGTGTTTCAAGTGTTGCCAAAACCCTCCCAAACAGAATTGTTTTTTCCCCTGTGAAAGCGGGCGAGTTTGTTGCTGTTTTCCCTTCTGGAAACAACGTTTGCTTTTGCCAGGAGGAAGTGCTCCTTGAACCAACTGCAGCACAATCTCGTTTGCTGCGTGAGCGACTTTCACCCAGGAGATTTCGCCAACGGTTTTTTGGTGAACGATTGGAAAGACGGGGCAGTGATTGGAGGCCTTTGGTTGATTTGGACAATTTGATGGATGTCTCCTATGTGGCGGTGAGCTACTTGGCGATTGGTCGTCAACTGAGAAGTCCCGAGACTTTAGAGAAACCTTTCATGGCGATGTTCAGCGCTATGGCATGGTTGCGGATGCTCTATGGTTTGCGTGGAGAATCTTGGTTGGGCCCACGGTTTTTGCCCATCATTTGGGCCTTAAAAGATACCACTGCATTTTTCATAGTGACTGCAGTGTGCTACTTAGCCGCGACGCATGCATATTACAACTTACAACAGCAGAACGAACCATCTCCGCATTACGCTGCGTTTCTGACTATTGCGAAGTTGGGTTTCTTTGGTGACTTCGACATGGAAGAGTTGGAAGGTATAAATCCATCCATCGGGGTGAAGGAAGAGGGGCCAGGAGCTTGGGAGATGCTGGACCCAGTGCCTGGAGAAGACTATATCCCAGTCCACATCTTATTCTACAGCGTTGGATTATGCTTCACCATTTTGCTGATGAATTTGTTGATTGGCGTCTTAAGTCAAAACTTCGAGATGTATCAGGACAGAGCCCCCGAGCTCTTCAATCGCGCAAGGGCCAAGATGCTGTTGGAGATTTCGGGGAGACCTTTGGGGAAGTTCTATGCCTTTCTGAAGATGTCGTGCTCACTCTGCCGAAGATCAGCAGTTTTTGCTGAGCTGCATGATGATTCATGGCAAGCTTGGTTTGCTTGGTTCTTTCTGCTTCCGGTTCGACCTCTTCTTGGAGCAAGGGCATTCCAAGGTGCAAGAGAACACATGACCCAAGCAATTCACAGCAACTACGGCATTCTAGTGGCCCTATGTTTTTGCTTCCCTCTTCAGTGGGGAATGGCACTTTCAATTCTTGTGATTAGCATCGTTATGAGCCTTTTCGTTGGGCCATCAGCTGTCCGCCATGAAATCACTTCGTTCTTTGGCGTTTTCAACGGCTATTTTGCTTCCGAATGTGTCTTGACCTGAAGCTTTGTGACCTAAAGAAACCATGGTGCTTCATTTATGGGTCATGCTCTCCAGCTTTGTCCTATGATCCCTGAACGACTCTGAAACTACTTCGGGTTTTTCTGTGGCATCTCAAACTACTATGGTCAGGAAATACATCAAATGTAAACGCTCATCCTGACGCCTTTCAAGCATTGCCCGTATATCACGAAAGCAAGCTCTGAAGGAGGTTTGCTGAAGTTCTCGTGTACAAGAGGAGTGTTGGAATTAGTTGCAAACTATCGAATTGATTTATCACTACACAAGGCCCCCCACCTTGCATGATATACTCAATAAGTGCCCCGCCCTCCATGAATTGATTTTGTTGATTTAGGGGCCGCCCCAAAACACGCGCGCATCACAAGCATCATTTGAGTGATTGGAACCAGCTTAGCAAAGCAAAGGTTGTTCCAGACTAGTGCCCGAGCATTTCCACGCAAGTCATATTGGTGACGCTAGCATTGCAGAAACCATCATTTGGTCAAAGCGATTTCGTCCAACTTCCGAGGCTGGATCTGGTATTTCGTCCGCTTTGATCCCTCTGACGACGAGGTCAGGAGCTCCCGCACGGCTACGAAGCACATGCTGAAGGCGAGCCACAGTGTAAGCGATAACGTCAAGATGAAGGCTGAAGATGATGTTGGGAGCTTTCGTAAATGGAGAAAGACGAAGAGCGTACATAATGCAGCATTTGCCCACATAACTATGGTTTTTTGAGGGGAACTAATTGTTGCGTTGAGTGATCTTTTGGGATTTGCTTTTGTTTGCGGCTGCTCCTGCTTTTCTTCCTGTTCCCGTTTTTTTTGCGCTTGTCGTCTTGCTTTTCCCTTGCTTTTCATTGCTTCCCCTTGAGTTCTCCTGCGTTTCTTGCATTTCCTGCTTCTTTTGCCCGTGTCTTGCTTTTCTTGGCTTTTCTTCTACTTTTCTTCTACTTTTCTTTACTTTCCTGTTTCTTGTCCTCTTGTGGCATATTGTTTCCCTCTTTTATGTACTGTAATTGCGTTTGCTTTCTATGACCTTTGTTGTCGTCGTTTTTTTGTTGCTTTTCAAGCCTTGAGTTCTGGATTTCTTTATTTTTCCTACCCTTGTTGTTTGTTTTCCGCTCTTCTGGTTGTTCTGTTTTGTTTCTGAATTCGACAACCCAAGTGCATGACTCCCTTCTCGATACTCCCTTGCTTTTCTCCTTTTTCGTTCGCTCTGTGGCCGGAGTTTGTGTTTTGCACACAGGCGCGCTAGACTAGCCGCTAGACGCCCTGAACTAATCGACATAGAAAATGGCCTGAACAGCTTTTTCTACAAACAGCTAGCCTTCCACTTCCGGAGAAACCAAGATACCACGGCATAAAAGGTTCCCCAAACGCAACGAAAAACTCCACAAACAAAACCGCACCCCACGTACACATATGTTTCAGATTGTGAAAAGAATAGGCTCTTGCATGGGTGGCGCACGCAGGTATTCCTCACTAAAAAATTGTTTATACAATCTTATACATATATATATATTATATCATGTATATTCAATGTGTTGCGAATAGATGCTTGGTGATTTGTTTGATTGGTCGGCGGCATCGAGCAGCATCATTGTTATTTGCAATCTGAAAAAAATATACCTTTAAAATGTCGGCCAGGAGTTGCACAAGAAGCACGAGGACCCAGGGCAGTAGAAGACTCCTTGTTGCAAAGAATCCAATGGATACAGCGTTCCGAAAGCAGGATGGTTGTAACGTCACCAGGAAATGAACCAGAAGATTGTGGACGAACTGAAGAAGATCCAGGCCTGACTAAACTACTGGCCATTCATTCTCATGCAAGCTTGTGACACCGTTGTGCTTCCACTGAGGTCTGATTTCCGGTAATAAAGCCTTGTCAAATTCTGGCACTTCAGCTTCAGCCATGAAGACGAATTCTTGTCCAAAGATAGCAACTGTGCAGGAAGCCTTAGACACAAGGTGAGGCTGCAGGACACTTTCGGCGTTTCTTACAGACGCCTGTGGCCATATCTCTTGTCAAGTCCCCCTCGCATTTCACCAGCCACTATTGGATCATGTACTGGATGCGCTTTTGGGGTGCCAAAATTGTGCTTCAAAATTGTGCTTGACCGAACGTGAGCTGGGTCGAATTCCTGACGTGTAGATTTCATTGGATTTCCGTGGTTCGGCGGAGTTTCTCTCATTTCTGGATGCTTTTGGTAAAGTGTTACAGTAACTGACAGCAACAGTTGCTTGTTCTTTTGGGTGGTTCGTGCTTCGAATACTGGTAACTCCCCTTAGCCTTCACCGTTCTGCCTTTGTCGAGCGAAAAGTCATGCAAAATTAAAGAGATATATTTTGGGCTTCCAGATTGTTTGTCAAAACAGCCACAGACATGCTCCTTAATTCCTCAACAATCAAAGCATTGTTCTCCACACATCTCAAAGTTTGATGCCAATCCGCAAGTCTGTGGCTGCTCAGGAGTGAACTTTGCAGCAGTGCTTTGCTCCGCCCATTCTGAAGGGTGAGATTTTCCATGGAGCGCACCAATAAAGTGCCTCCTGCTACAGCGATCTCAAAGACCAGGACATCACGCACTTGTTTGGTTTTGTCCAGGATGCTGTTTTGATGGTTCAGATTAAGATGATTAAGTCAAGCACACCAGTTCAAGGCTGCGAACAAGCAGGACGACTTGTCAATGTGAGATTTAGATGATGTCCCGGCAACTGCAGCTTTACCTTCCAGCATTGGATTTGACCTTTTTGGAGACTCGACCAAGTCAGTCACCATTTCCCATAGTGTTAATGTCAGCGCCATTTGCAGGGCTAGCCTCGAGTTCGCACCTGTTCAGAGCAACAACGCTGAAGACTATGCAGAAAGATGTAAAGGACATGAACCAAGTCCAATCGTGTTCACGCACCCTTGCTTTGGAAGATAGATGAGGCTTGCGCAAGTTTGGCTCCAAGAAGTCGGGGCCGAAGGACTGATACAGACACGAGGACTACCGGGATTTGGGCATGCTCCGAGATAGAAGATTCCTTGTTTGAGCCGTGGCAGCGCTGACACCATGAGGCGGGTGAAAAGCATGTCCAGTTGGAACGAGCGAATTTTTTGTTCTGAATACATTTGAAGTCTTTTGTAAAGCGTAAATGCAGCTAGGCAGCTAGGCGCACCACCTGTGGGTTATGTTATTTGTACCATTTATATCAGCACATACTTCAGCAACCCTAAAATTTAAATTTGTCATTCATTTGGTCCCCTTACTTGGTTTGCTTGCAACATCATTCGTGCAGGTTTGTCCTCCTTCTGGTGATTCTTGGCATTGCACAGGCGATTCGACAAACCTTTTATGCACTGCGCTTTGGTTACCAGGAGTCTAGGCGTTTCACAGGTCTTGCCTTTGGGCCTCACAATCGAACAGACTTATGATGACTTACATAAATATATTACATAGGCTTCCTGTCTTGTTTGTTCTTTCAACGCTGATCTTTCACAGCTGATCAGACCGTCGTGACATCCACCTCTTCCAGAGTCTTGGCCAGACATTACCGTTACCTTTTTGGAAGCTTCCAAGCACCAGCGTTTTTTGAGAGAAACTAGTTGGCAGAGAGCGCCCGCGCGTAAGATGTTTTGCTTTTGATTCTTGTTGTACCTGAATGACTTGGTTCATGTGCTGCAACGTGTACTATTTGGCGGGCCATTGAATGGGACCAACATCATAGGGTCACAGCATGATCATGATGCACTGCTTACGCTGCAGGTGACCTTATGGCATTGAGCAGACTAGAGGTAATGACTTGCATTGCTTGATAACTTAGAGTTCTAAAGAAGACTCATCCATAGAACCCAGCTTTTGCAACGGAGCTCCGGGTGCTCTTCCGCAGTGAAGTGCACTTGGACTTGCGCCTGTCAGGAATGAGAGTGTGGGCAAGGAAAATCCCTCAAGAAAGGATTTGCAAATTGAAATGCATGTGCGAATTGATGCGAGTTGCGTCTGCATGCAACTTTGCTTGCGGGGTGTCTCGTCTCGACACCGCCTCAACACGAATGGAATGAGGCACAAGCACCACAACCTCGAGCAGCACAAGCACCACAAGTTCAAGCACTTCAAGCACAACGCAGGCTACACGACGTCCTGTCGTGAGTTGCGGCGGACATGTCTTCAAAAGGTTGTTCCGGCTTCTTCTTTTTTTAGCTCCCTCCCCCCACTGCCTACTTAATTACAAAGGTGCGTACTTAATTAAGTACGGGAGAGGTAGCTACTCAAGCTACTACCTAGGACGCAGGATAGCTCATGCTTCTTCAAGGGAGCTTCCTTGAAGAAGCGCTTGTTGGCTCGTGGATTTTGAGGGAAACTTAACATTATGGAGGCCATATCTCTTAGGCTTGAGGCCATGGCTATGAAACTTTGGTCAGGCTGAGCCCACTTGGACATCACCGTCAGTAAGCGGCAGTGCACCTTCAGCTCGCTACGGGCATTCGGCTGCGATGAATACTGATGGCAAAATGTGGGTATTTGATGGCTCTAGCTACCTGTTTGGATTCAGAATAAGAATAGTGTTCACAACTTTAGTGCATTCGCATGAATTTGCTTTACCGACAATCAACTCACGCAAGGTAAATTAGCCGATTTGTATTGCCTGGACACGCAGGCTGGAAGTTGTCTCCCGAATTTGTTGTTTTCACTTCCGATCCGTCCTTACTATTCCTGTTGCTTTGCCGCATGTTTTTGGCATCAACCTGTTTCATCAGAGGGAAACATATTAGATATTGTCATTACAAGCTGGCTGGTTTAGGCATTGATTTCTATAGGCCTTGCTTTCTGGCAAGTTGGTTGCCTTTATCCAAATCAAAGAGTCAGCATGTCTCCCAACCTTGGGTCAACACCTCAAATCAACGAATCAATGGCTCATGCTCAAAGACGAGGCCCCAGCTACTTTGTTCATGTAAAGACTTGATAAGACCTACGTGGTGTGCGCTTGCAGTTGCCAAGAAGTTGGTCATGTCAGAACCATGTGCTGTGCTGCGAAGTATATACTTCTTGAGCTGCCAGACTGGGACATGGACATATCCATCACTGAGTGGCAGCGCGCCTGCAGCACGCTGGTACCATTCAGCCGTGATGGCGAACGGAGGCAAAATGTGGATATTTGGCGGCGGTGGGAGTAGTGTCATGGTGGCAGTTCTGCCATTTTGCAGCCTCACTCCAAACCTTTCATTGCTCTTTTTGTGGCCACGTGCACCTGTTTGCCAACCAAGGTAGCAGTAACATCAAAAACGATGTGCACTACCTGGACACGCAGGCCCGGATATTCTCGTGGTAGTAGGATATTGCCCGATACGGTCCGATACGGGCATGTACACTCCTGCAAACCACGTAAAAAAGAATAACCAATCAGAATGAAACACAAAAGTAAGCAAGCACGTCGAACGTGCCTGGACGTCAGCTGACCGGGTAAGCAGGACTAACAGTGCAACGGCGCCCCAGCACCCACAGCTCAGCCCCACCCCAAAACTGTCAGCAGAGCTGGAAGACGGGGAGAGGAGGGAATGTGTACGCACACGCTTTTTCGCTCCACCGGCTCCGACACCATGTGTATGCACCATAGCTGTTTTGGCCCCGCGTGCTCGCTCCTGCTGTCTCGTCCAGTCTATGTCTACTGCCGTCTGCAGACCCGAAGTCAAAGAATGCTAAGGCCTCTGATTTGGACCGTGTGGAGCGGCAAGTGCACAAAGCGTATAAATTGGCTTTGCAGGTCGGCACATCGCCAGTCGGCAGACACGTCCCGCCGTTCCCTGGTTTTGCTCATCAAGGGAGACGCCAAAACTGAGCTCAACACCTTGTGGACGACTTGGACCCGAAACGCCAAGCTCCCCAAAGAGGAACTCCCTCAAGGGGGCAGGTTCGACGACAAACCGTGGCCTCTCAATTTTGGTGCTCCGTCCTTCGGAAACCGCACTCAGGCTCGCCAGACCATGTTGTCTGCTTCGCTGCGTCACTTTTTTGGGAAAGAATCCGATATTGGTTTACGCCCTGCCCAGTTGCAATCGTGGATGCCAGCGGTCTGTTCTCTCGGAGCTTGATTTGCCAGATCCCACCGCTAAAGGGAAATCGGGTGGCAAGGGATCCAGTCGTCTCCGGAGCCCCAAGGGTCCCCGCGACGGCCATGGCTCGCGCGACGCGCCTCCCCGTTTGCGAGCAGAAGTCAGGACTGGTCCGGTTCTTAGTTGTTCAGTTGTCGTTCTTTCTCCGTTGGTCTTCCCACCCGACATGCTGTTTCATCCGATTCTTCTGGTTCACTGCTGGTCTGCTTCCCTTTTTGTTCCCTGGATGCTGTTACCCAGGGGGCCGTCCCTTGCTGCTTGGGAGGACCGTCTCCCAAGCCTGGTCTCCGAGGGGGCCGTCCTCAGCTCGCCCCTGTTTCTTTTGCATTGCCTTCTCCGGGTCCTCCTGTTTGTTGGCTGTGCTCCCCCTCCCCCCTCCCACAAGGATCTTGTGTTTTCCTGAACATTTGGAACAGGTTCGTTCGTACTTCCCTGTGGTCTCTCTGTCTCTCATGTTCTTGTTCGGGTCTTCGTACCGCTGTGATTCTCCTTTTCGGTCGTTTTAAGGGTTAGTCCTGGCAGGAGAGCTACGCGCAGGTGTGCCCATTATGCGCGAACACCTGCTACCACGAGAGGAGAGAAAAACAAACAGGAAAGACAAAGGGAGCCCAACAAAACAACACAGAAGCAGCATAAACCGCAGCAATCGGCGAGAAAATCATTGAAACCACCATAGCGAAGAGCAACCCAACCACAGAACCGCAGAGGCAGTAAGGGCAGGAGGCAGAGGCGTGAGGGACGGCCCCCTCAGCCAAACCAATCCAAGACGGACGGCGCCCATCTGGAAGCCAGTCAGAGGGGACAGCACCTTTCGACGCCGAACAAACCGCAAGGGTCAGCAAGTGATCGACGAGACACGGCAACAAAAGAGTTCCTAAATGTAACAACCACTGGCCAAGCATCAACCTCTGGTGGCTCCCCATGGGAGATGGCTTCAACAGCAACTCGGAAAGCCTGGAGCGCCTCCAAGTGCGTTGCCAGCTCAAGGATTTCACGGCACGCCGCTGCTGCCACCAGCATCACGACGCGACGAGCGGCGAGCAGACATGGCATTGTGCGGAGCAAGCCCAAATCCTTATCCCTCCCTCGGAGCGGACGGATTCACTCTAACCAAGTGTGTGCTTACCGAGTTCCTAATGTAACAACCACTGGCCAAGCATCAACCTCTGGTGGCTCCCCAAAACGATTGGCAGCCAGCTGTTGAGACGAAAAGACTATCATGGGAAAAAAGGTGTAACTCAGCGCCGGTCGTGAAAAAGTTGCCCCAATCAGGGCGAAGAGAAATGACCTGGTCTCAGGTAAAACTGCAGGTACGTCTGGCTGATCAGGCCAGATATCCGCATGTGCTGTGGCCGCTTCGTTGGACCATCGCTCACAGCACATGCTGAAAAAGAAAAGAAGGCCATTTAACATTCCAAGTGGATCCCTGTGATTGCAAGGGGTACACACACACGCACTACGTTGTTTGTAACTTCTTTCTCGCCGACTTTTCTATGTCAAGTCATTCTCTGTTTGGTTTGATGTTTCTGTGTCTGGCCCTATACCTTCTACACCCTGAATCTCGTAGCAAATCTTCGCTCTTCCAATTGTTCCAAAACTGAACTGCTCACCTGCTTCTTCAACCACTCTATGTTTCTTGTCTTTGAGGGCCGCCGTTTTGCAACCTGACCCCATATGAGCGTCGTTCTAAACCATGTTTGGAGCGAAGGGTCGTAAGGAGGTGCTTACGCACACGCCTGAGATTTCCTTACGCGATTCACATTTCAGCTTACGCGCCATGCAGGGGACATGAAGTGCTTACGCGGAGCTTACGCAAACAGATACGGACCAACTTTCTCCACCACACCACAACATGAGCTTACGCGCTTAGACTTGACTTTTTGCATCTTCTACTTAGCGCCAACATCAACCGTCACCGGATGAACCATCAGTTGTTGAAGACAACGACGAGGATGAAGCAGATGAACTGTCATCTTGAGGATGAAGTGCAAAAGCAATGAAATACATGGAGAAGCCAAGCTTACGCATTTAGCTTAGGCAAGTGCTATCAACCTAACGCAAATCAGGTTTTGGCTTACGCACAGTATCCTTATGACCATGTCCTTACTAAATATGAACACCTAGGTTTTGAAATGTTTTGAACGATGCTCATATTGTCCCGGCAGGAGACCCCAAACAGTGTGCAAAAGATCTCAGTGATGAGTGGCAGGATGATTTTGGTGTCCTTGTGGCAGCCGTAGTGGTGGTAGTCATAGTACTGGTAGTCGCGGTTGTGGTTGCGCTGTGGTGGTAGTCAAAGGAAGTTTAGGGTGCCGAACTTCCGTGTTACGGACTTTCAAAAGCTCTATATAGGTCTAGTTAGCTCTAGTTCCAGTCAGCTCTTCAACGTGCATTTTGGAAGGAGGTCTCGTACAAAATGCTTTTTTCAACAGCTCTAGCTCTAGTCAGCCCTAGTTCCAGTTAGCTCTTCAACATGCATTTTGGAAGGAGGTCTCGTACAAAATGCATTTTTCAACAGCTCTACTGTAGCTCTAGTTAGCTCTAGTTCCAGTCAGCTCTTCAACATGCATTTTGGAAGGAAGTCTCGCAGAATGGCTTTGTTTTGCAGGTGTTCAACATGCACTTTGGAAGGAAGTCTCGTACAACGTGCGTTTTCGAGAGATAGCGGACGCACGAAACGCTGTGTTTTTCAATGCAAAGTGGCTCGGAACCTGGCAAGTCAAGCTCTGCGGAGCATTTTGGAAGGAAGTCTTGCAGAATGGCTTCGTTTTGCAGGTGTTCAACATGCACTTCGGAAGGAAGTCTCGTACAACATGCATCTTCGAGAGATAGCGGACGCATGAAACGCTGTGTTTTTCAATACAGAGGTGGCTCCGAACCTGGCAAGTCAAGC